ATATATATTCTATGTATACACATATATATACTATACATACACACACATATATACTATATGTATCCACACACATATATATTTTATGTATATATATATATACTATACATACACACACATATATATTTTATGTATATACACACACATATATACTATATGTATGCACACACATATATATCATGTGTATACACAATGCATATTATATGTATACACATGTATATATTATGTGTATACACACATGCATATTATATCTGTACACATATGTTATATGTACACACACACTCACAAACACACACACACACACACACACACACATATATATATATATATATATATATATATATGAAATTGTCAATGAGTAAAGGAAAAAGGTACTCTAGTTTTCAGATGTTCTAGAAGCTACAGAGATGACTCATCAGTTAAGAGCACTTGCTGCTTGTCCAGAGGACCCAAGGTTGGTTCCAAGCACCCAGGTGAGGTGGTCCACAGTCACCGTCACCTTAACTCCAGCTCAGGAGATCTGACATCTCTGGCTTCTTCTGGCATCTGTGCATATCCTGCCCCAACACAACTACAGATAACTCCCTCTGTAGCCCAGGCTGGCCTCAGACCCACAGAGATCCACCTGCCTCTGCCTCTTGAGTTCTAGAATAAAAGGTGTGTACCACCACTGCCTGGCTAAAATAAATCTTTATAAAAAGTTAAATTTATTTGTGTGTGTGTGTGTGGTGTGTCCCCACAGAGGAGAGTGCTAGATCCCCCAGAGTTGGAGTTATACCTAGTTGTGACACACCAGATGTGGGTACTGAGATTTGAATCCAGGCCCTCTGAAAGAACTCATATTCACACAACAGTCAGTATTCAGACAGGGTCCAGGCTTAGCCATTCCCTCTGCCCCCTGCTCAGCCACCTCAGATTACACTTGGAAGGGTTGCCTTGTTCCCTTCGAAAAGTAGCTCTCCTGACTTGATTTGGCTCTGCACTCACTTTCCAGAAGATTCCACCTGGCTTCCTAATCACGGTTCCCCCTTTTCACCACTATTCAGATCTCATTCTGACTGGACTCCCTTCTCTCCTGAGGAGACATAGCCAGTGCTACGCTGGGAAACAGCTCCAGGCCTGAGGAGCACCAAGGCAGAGTGTGTGTCAGTGGCTGTGGTAAGAACATCATGAGAGCCGGGCAGTGGTGGCGCACGCCTTTAATCCCAGCACTTGGGAAGCAGAAGCAGGTGGATTTCTGAGTTTGAGGCCAGCCTGGTCTACAGAGTGAGTTCCAGGACAGCCAGGGCTATACAGAAAAACCCTGTCTCGAAAAAAACAAAACAAAACAAAAAAATCAAAAAACAAAAAAAAAAAAAGAAGAAGAAGAAGAAGAAGAACTTGAAAAGAGACAGAAAAGAACATCCCAGTCAGGCGAGGTGAACATCCCTACAGTCTCAACGTGTCAAAGGTGGAGACAGGAGAAACAGGATGTTCAGAGCCAGCCTCTAACTACACAGTGAGTTTGAGGCAGGCTGGGCAATACAGCAAGAACATCTCAAAAAAAAAAAAAAAAAGCAACTAGGAGTAGGGAGATGGCCCAGTGGTTAGCGCACTCAAGCATGGGGGCTGGGCTTGGGATCTCCAGAACTCACTTAAAATGCCAAGTGGATCTCAGCTTCACAAGGTGGAGGAGACGTGGATCTCTAGAGAAAGCTGGGCAAGGAGACTAGCCTTATCAGCGAGCTCTGGGTTTGATCCTGACGTCAGAACACACACACACACACACACACACACACACACACACACACACACACAATGAGAAAGAGAAAAACAAACAAACAAATGACGTCTTGATTGACAGGGGGCAGCCCCTCCTTCATAGCATCCTCTGCCCCTCCCTCTCAGCACCAGAAGCCACACCCCGCCGCACTCTGGGCGCCTAGAAGGAGATCCCATCCCGCTAGGGGCAGCCTAGCTCAGTGTGAGGAGCAGTCTGGAGTGATCTCTGACCTGCCCTGTGATGCCCATCCTGCATCTCTCAGACGTAGCAGGGCAAGTTCCCACCGTCTTCCACTCTCCTTACGGAGTCCCCAGCCTTTCCCAAATTCCTTGAACTCTTACCAGGCCTGGGTGTTTGTTCCTGTCTGGATGTCCTTCTTTGCTTCGCTAAGACCAGGACACCACTGGCTCCCCGAATCTAGCTCAACTCCTTGGACTGGGCCTCGAGAGCCTGCATACACAGTTTCTCCTGCCTCTGATTCCTGGAGGATTTAGGGTAACCTAAGCCCAAGCTTAGAAATGATCCCGGAGGAGGAGGAGGAGGAGGAGGAGGA